TTGAAAGGGCGTTCTTTGCTATCACTAGGCTCGTGATTGACCATATGCTCTTTTAGATGATCTGATTCTGCAAATGATTGACTACAATGTTACATTCATAAGACTCCTGTTCACTTCTTCTTCCTCGATCGTCACTTCGGAACTCCGAATGTATCTAAACACGTTTTCATAATCCTCAGAATATGATTCAGATTTAAACAATATCAATTTCGTCTTTGATTTCTTGTTTAATAGCGCCTGCTGATATTCTGGTGGTTCAATTAATTGCCTGATCATTCATAGGCATAATTGCTTCTTCTGACATTTTTAAATATTTTCACTCCGTATAATCAGTAGATATTTACGAAAACAATTGTCTGATAAACAATAATAATAATAATCAAGTTTAATCAATAATTTTGACATTTGATTATTATTTCACCAAAATATATTATTTGACATTTCCAGCATAGAGAACCATAATGAAGTTGAAAAGATGCGCCACTTGTTAAATACCCCCCGCAATTTTAAAATTCTCGTCTTCTAATGCATACTCTATGCTTCAAATGTCAAATAATAAATGCAGGTAGATTCAGTTGAAAAAGTTGACTTTTATAATTATGATATTAGTGATTAGACTAGATTATTATTATTGCTTAGCCCACAATTATTTCGTAAATATTTACTGATTAAACGCAGTGAAAACATAGAAATATGTCAGAAGAAACAATTATGTCTGTGAATGATCAGGCAATTAAAATTGAACCACCAGAATATTCAGCAGGAGTCATTAAACACGAAATTGAGGATGAATCAGATGTTTTTGATGCTAATATCAAATCTGAGTCGTGTTCTGAGGATGATGAAACGTGTTTAGAAAGATTCATGAATTCCGAAGTGACTAGAGAAGAACAAGTCAAACAAGAGCCAATCGAGACATTCACTGATGAATGTGATATTTGTAATCAATCATTTGCAGAATTACATCAGTTAACGGATCATATTTTCAATCACAAGCCTAGTGATAGCAAAGAACGCCCTTTCAAATGCGGAATCTGTAAGAAGACTTACAAACTATCAAAGTGCTAAAACTACACATGATTACACATTCTGAAAAATGTCCCTTTGAATGCGAAATATGCAATAAGAGATTCACCAAATTAGGTGCTCTGAAATTCACATGTTCATTCACAGTGGTGAGCGCCCCCTATGAATGCAGTATATGCAAAAAGACATATACCCAATTAGGTAATAAAATATCACATAACAATTCACATTGGTGAGCGCCCCTATGAATGCAGTATTGTGATAAGACTTCAGACTACGAGACGTCTGAAAAGTCACATGTTTCATTCACAATAATGAGCGCCCCATGAATGCAGTATGTGCAATAAAACATTCACCAAAGTAAGTAATCTGAAGAGCCATTTGCTCATTCACAGTGGTCAGCGCCCCCATGAATGCACTATATGCAAAAGGACATTTGCAACTAAAGGTAATCTGAGAATACATGAAACAGTTTCACAGTAGTGAGCAGCCCTATGATTGCAGTATATGCAAAAGGCATTCAAACAATCAGTAGTGTGAAAAGACCATGAAAATTCATGACAGAGAGCAATGTGAATATGCAATAAGGAATGTACTCAATTGATGATTTGAGGGAACATTTGGCACTTCATAGTAATAGAGAATAATACTGAGTAGGAAAATAACTCCAAATATCATTCTTAATTTCAAGTCAACTTGAAAATCAAATAAACATATCATGAAACAAAACAAATTGAACTCAAACTTTTAAATTTAGATTTAGAGGTTACTCATTGTAGTAAATCAAGATTAAGTATGGATAAAAAGCATCTCATAAATAAATCTGTATGGATTCATTTGTGGGAAAGTAATCTAACACCCATAATTCAACAAATACAATGGTTTACTAGCAACAAAATTATATTCAGGACTACAAATCTCTTTTGTTAAGGCTGTAGTAAAAGTACCACAAGAAAACTGCCTTTAGACTCGATGTAAAAAATTACTTAGTCAAAGCAGTTGTATTGTAGTTCGACCATTTATTATTTTTTTCAGATGTATTACTTTTAAAGTTAAAAATAATATTATTAATTATGAAATCGTGAAGGTCTTGAATTACCTAATGGTGTGTAATTGAAATTTAGAAAACAATAATTTTGTGCAAAAATGGTATGTATTTGTTTTCATATTCACACACAAACACAAATAATATATATATAATAATATCTATATATATATAATTATTTGTGTTTGTGTGTAAATATATATATATATATAGGGTGGTCCTTAAAATGGTCATTTTCGAATTTTCTTGCTCCCAGGGGCTCAAATGGTTCCAAATAGATAAAAAACAATCTCTGAAAGTTTTAGCTCTTAATATAAACGTTTAGATAGAGCGCAATTCAATCAAAGTTTTGTATGGAAATAGCATGGAAAAATTTTCAAAAATTAAAAATGGTTTTTTAGATGTAATTTATGAACAAATGAATGAATAAAACTCATTCATTTGTCGCTAATTTATACCTAAAACATTTTTTTTTAACTTTCAAAAATTTTTCCATGCTTTTTCCATACAAACTTTGATTGAATTGCGCCTCTATCTAAACGTTAATATTAAGAGCTAACTTTCAGAGAATTGTTTTTTATCTATTTGAACCATTTGACCCCTGGGAGCAAGGAAATTCGAAAATGACCATTTTAAGGACCACCCTAATAATATATATATATATATTATATATATATAATATATATATCATATACATATATTGTATAGCTTATATAAAGTGTTTTTTTCACTAAATCTTTTTAGAGGTTTGAACAAAAAAATCCAAAAAGTAATAAAGTAATTGGTTTTGAAAAAAACTTTTTTTTATATTACTTTTTTGGATTCTTTGTTCAAAGCTCTACAATAGATATATATATATTTTATATATTATATATATATATATATAAATAGATATATAATAATATATCTATTATATATATATCAGGTTTTTTTCGTCAGATAATGAAAATATATGATGAAGTGTTCTTGGACACCCATCCAATATCAAAACAAACAAATTTAATAAAGAAAAATGTTTTTTTATACTAGCATTAAATAAATTACAGACTACAACTTTTATAAATATATAAAACTTATAAATTAACAAAATATAATTAATATAAATAAGTTTACACTTATGTTTTTATTCATATTTATAATTATATTTTTGTTAATTTTATAAGTTGTATATATGTATTTATATAGCTTGTAGTCTTGTAATTTTTTTAATGCAAGCATAATAGACATTTGTCTTTATTAAATTTGTTTTAATTATTGGATAGATGGCCAAGAACACACACACACACATATATAAATATATTTATATATATTATTTATTCCATACATTTCAACATATTATTTTATGTCATCTTCAGTAGAATGCAAAATAATTCAGAGTATTCCAATTTACATTCCACTGAAGATGATACAAAATAATATTTCAAATGTATAGAATTATAAGAATTTTATAACTTTTATTGAATATATATATATAATATATATATATATATATATATATATATATTGAGGTTCCGGCTGCCTCAGGAACTTAATATTTACATTAATTGCTCTAATTGCAATCTTTTTTATATCAGAGAAACTAGCCAAAACCTGAATGAACATGTTCATGAACACAACAAAAATAGCTCTAAAAATACCAATTTATTATTTATTTATTGGATTAATTGTTCAAAAAAGAAACCC